AATTTCAATGAATACGAATAATATTTCATACCGGGACAACAAGGGCCGCGTCCCTCAGAGAGGAACCAGTCTGAGGACGAAAAGTCTGCCACTGGAACAAACTCTTCCATACACGAAAAGACCAAACCAAACCCGGATTATTGCCAACCTTGGACCAAGTGACTCAATACCAAATCGACTAATGAAAAGTAAACGAACGAAATGGAGCCGCGAAGAGTATCGACAAGTCATGACATCCTTCTTCACTGCACTTGAAAACCCAGCAAAGAACACCACCAATCAAACATACCAAATATGGAGAAGTACGATGGGAAATGATATAAGACCTAACCTCAATCCAAACATGCTTATGTAATTTATTTATTTATGTTTTTTTGTCAGTGGAAAGTATCATGATGCCATTTCTAACCTTAGGCCCCTGGTCGGGACCCGGAAAGAAATGTGTAAACGCCAGAAATCAAAGAAAATAATAATAATAATAATAATAATAACTCGAAAATGTGGCATATGAGAACATCAACAATCCCTGTTGTAGTTGGAGCCGTAGGACTGGTTGGAAAAGATTGTAGTAGACTAATTGAAGGGATTCCTGGAAGTCCATGCCTCAAGGAGATACAAAAAATTGTTCTGACAAGTACAGCCCACAATTTACGAAGGGCTTTATCTATGTAATTTTTTTTTTTGTCAGTGGAAAGTGTCAGAAATGTGTAAACGTCAGAAATAAAACCCGGCATGACAGAGTGGGCCAATATCTGCACTGGAAAATCTGTAACTTCTACGGGAAGGAAACTGAAAGAAACTGGTATGAACACCACCCAGACCCGGTTACGGAGATAGGACCTGTTACAATTCTATGGGACTACACAATACACACTGACAGAACAATCAAAGTCAACCGCCCAGACATTGTCATTAAAGACCACAAACAAAAAAGTGCCTTCTTATTGATATGGCAGTCCCTGCAGACTGCAATGTATCTTTGAAGATATCAAAAAAAGCTATCAAAATACAAGGACCTTGAAATAGAAATCTCAAAAACGTGGCATATGGAACATTGGGGAATCCATTATTCCCTTAGTTGGATTTAAGGAGAGGTTAAAAATATTCCAGTAAACTGATTAAAGGGATTCCTGGAAGTCCATCCATTAAAGAAATACAAAAAAATTGTTCTGACGAGTACAAGCTGAATATTTACGAAGGGATTTGTCTTAATTTTTTTTTTAAATTGCAAAATTTCAATTGCTCAGCAACTTTAGGTTTCTGGTTGGGACGGAAACAATTGAATATATACAACCCAGACATTTCATTAAAGAAATAAAATGTTAATTAATATATATATAATATATCTTAATATATATATATAAAATCAAAATACAATATATATATACATATTCTCAGTGTTTTATGGGGATCATCAACAATCCATGTTTCTATCTATCTATCTAAATATTATAAATATAAAATATTATGGAAATATAAAAAATACAAAAAAATTGTTCTCATAAAGCCCACGCCTTACGAGGGACAGTCTTTGTTTTTTCTTTTTATTGTTATGCATTGTCATGGGAAAGGTTTCCTGGGACGAAAACAATTGCATATACCAGAAATCAAAAATAAAGCTCTATATATATATATATATATTATATATATATAAATATTAGTCAAACCTATCTAATCTATCTATATTTCTTATCTATAATATATATTTATATATATATATATATATATCTATATATATATATAAATATAAAAATGAACATAGAAGTCATTTTTTATCTATCTGTTTTATATATGAAATCTAAATCTATTTTCATCTATCTATATATATATATATATATATATATATATATATATATATATATATATATATATATATAAAATCTTTTATATATCTTTATATATATATATATATATATATATATATCTATCTATAATCTATAAAACACTATATATATATATATATATATATATATATATATATATATTTTTTTTTTTGTGGGTAAAACTGTGGGGAGTGTGCAAAATTTTGACATGAGACGCACAGACGTCAAGACCCCATTAGCATCCACACGGAAAAAGAAATAAATTGTGTTATTAAAGAAGTGAAACGTAGGTGTGAGATTATCAACGAAAAATCCAACGTCTGCTTTAAATTTCAATGACGTCGCATAGTTTATTTTGTTGCTTGGGTATTTTAATAAATACTTGGGTATTTATAAAGGGGTATTCATAATTTTATAAATACTTGGGTATTTTCATAATACAAACTCTGCAAACTGGTTTATGAAAATACTTTAAAAGCGTGTAATAATTTACGAAAATAACTTTAGCACTCAATATGTTTTTTTAGATTAGACTAAAATTTGATAAATCTGTAATATTTACACCCGGAAAGCTTGTATATATTTCCCAATTTTCTATATTAATTTTGAGAAGAGAAATGATTTTTAATCATTTTCCTTGATCCCACCTTTCATTTTTTAGCATACGACAGAGTTGTCTGCTGTTTGAAAGATTTGATGTGCATCTGAAACAACTTTGCTGATTGGTCAATAAATGCTATTGTGGAAATTTGACATACAAATCATCCTATTTTTGGACAGAATTGAGATCTAAATTATACAACTAAAATCGATTGAATTTTTTCAAAAACTTTTACATAAGAATTACACACACACACACAAACACACACACACACACATAAATATATATATATATATATATATATATATATATATATATATATATATAAATGGGTATAGCGATATTTATGGTGATCGATACCAGGAATAGAGCGTATGTAAATAGAAATTAAAAAAAAAGTGGACACTGGGGTCAACACCGATCTAATGATAGTCTGTTTCATGAAAAAACGCAAAATTTTAGGTCACTGTTTGATCGCTCGACTCTTTATATATGAAAAATATAAAAACACATATTAAAACACACACACACACACACAATATTTTGAAAATTTCTTTCTTTCGTTTTTGGATCTGATAAAACCTGATAGGCAAAACAAGTGATCAAATCTGGTTTCAATTAAACGGTTTTTGTTTTTTCAAAGTTCTTCAAAACATTTTAGGGATTCTATATCCTATTTTAAACCCATTGTCGACACAGAAAACACGTAAGTAGACACAGAAACATATAAATCTTTTACTTTCAATCTATTCGGAAGGATTGGATGAGGATTTGCATTGGATTCAATTCAGGAAAGGCTGTGTGAATCTCTTGGAGCCGTTCTTAAAATTAGATGAGGATTTGCCTTTAACTCGATACAAAAACGCTGGGAAAAATATATTAAAAACTTTCGACATCAAGTAAGAATACTAAAGAAAAGGTACAAAATAATTATCAATGTTTTTTTAAAAGACAATCATTTTTTTCTTCTTTAATCACGAGAAACACCAGCTGAAATGTTGACAAATATTTTTTACATTTAAATACGCTTTGAGCAGATATGAATGTACGTGAGAGATTCATGGAGGATTGAAGTTTAAAATCAGTAAAATCGACCTTGCTAACCGAACGTTAGCTCAATCGATTAAGAGCGCGTCAGACTATATGACGGTTCCCTATAGGATACAGGTTCGATTCCTGTCGGAGGACGAATATTTTCTATGAAGATTTCTCAGACATTCAGGCCGGTAAATGTTATGTTATTGTTGTGGTAGGATCGACCTAATTTGCATAGTGGAGTACCGACCATATAAATATGGTTGGTACCGGGAAGAGAGGGAGGAATCAAGAGATTCAAACCAGAGACTCTGCCCGACTGCGACTCAGTCAACACATTCTCCAGGAACGGTCTTCCCAAGAATATACAAAAGACTATATGTAAATATTGTGTACACTTTCTTGTTTCAATACATTTTGTTCTAAGTACATTTTGTGTTGTATTATTATTCCATGCATTAATCAAGTTTCAACAGTTGTTAATACTATTTATTATAAAACAGAGTATTTACTTAAATATTGGTATCTATAAAAGAATGTATAAACATAAAAATGTCTTAAAATAATTTTCAGCCTTTGTCGATTTCATGTGTGTGTGTATATATATATATATATATATATATACGGAAAAAACAAACAAAAATCCTTATATTTCAATTACTGTTTTAATAAATATATGTCAACGTCGGACGTTTCGGTCTAATAAACCATCTTCAGGACATATTCATAAATTATAACATTATCAATACAACGGAGCGCTGATCTTATAAAACTTTCAGTTTTCTGTTTGGATAAATCTTGTTCTTATGTACATCGTCTTTGTCATGTTGTATTGATAATGTTATAATTTATGAATATGTCCTGAAGATGGTTTATTAGACCGAAACGTCCGACGTTGATATATTAACATTAAAACAGCATAATTGTATATAAGGATTTTTGTTTGTTTTTTCCGTATATATTTTTCTTCATACTGTCGGATCTATATCCATATATTTGCTTACATATATATATATATATATAAACTTGCTGTCCATGGACAATAAATATCATTGACCAAGTTAAATAAGATCCGAACTACATAATATTACTTAACTTTGATTTGGTTATTTCATTATTTAAAGCGAATTATCGGCGTGTTTCTTTTAAAGCCGGTATAGAGTCGATAAAAAAGAAATCAATACAGGTGCAAAATTACGAACTGCACTATCACAAGAGGGAAATTAGATGTCAACACTAGACCGAAAGCAAAATGGCGGTCATATTACTCCGGGCAAAAATGAGTGTCCTTTTATTTCTCTAGAGAAAAAATAACAAAGACTACTTTACCCTCCGTTGAAACGGGATAGAATGAAACACACTCACCTGAAATAAGAAAAAAAAATATTAGTAAATTAAATTTGTTGGTATTTAAGTGATAGCAGTTTATAATGGCTGTAAAGAAAACCGCGAAATAAGGTTATAATAAAAAGAAAGAAAGAAAAAAATTGGCGATTAGCAAGGGAAACAGAGGGGTACACAAAAAAGTGATAGATAGCTAGCTAGATAGATAATGAGCAGACCGAAATAGATAGATAGATAGATAGATAGATAGATAGATAGATAGATAGATAGATAGATAATGAGCAGACCGAAATAGATAGATAAATAGAAAGATAGATAATGAACAGGCTGAAATAGATAGATTGAGAGATAGATAGATAGAGAGATAGATAATGAGCAGACTGAAATAGAGAGAGAGAGAGAGTGCGAGGGATAGATAGATAAATAGACAATGAGCAGACTGAAATAGAGAGAGAGAGAGAGAGAGAGAGAGAGTTAGATAGATAGATAGATAGATAGATAATGAGCAGACCGAAATAGATAGATAGATAGATAGATAATGAACAGGCTGAAATAGATAGATAGAGAGAGAGATGGGTAGATAGATAATGAACAGGCTGAAATAGATAGATAGATAGAGAGATGGATAGATAGATAATGAACAGGCTGAAATTGATAGATAGATAGATAGATAGATAGATAGATAGATAGATAGATAGATAGATAATGAGCAGACTGAAATAGACAGAGAGAGTGATAGATAGATAGATAAATAATGAACAGACTGAAATAGATAGATAGATAATGAGCAGACTGAAATAGAGAGAGAGAGAGAGAGAGAGAGAGAGAGAGAGAGATAGATAGATAGATAGATAGATAGATAGAAAAGGACGCAAGAAAATGTATAAAATCAAATCAAAAGAATGTATCAAATTGAAGGATAAAATCATTGAATTATAAAGTGGAAGAGAAAATAGTCAAAATAAGAGAAAAATAAAGAATGAAAATAATAAAAAAGGAAGAAAAGAGAAAAAAATGAAAGCCAATCAAAGAATAAAGAAAAAAAAGGAAGAAATGAAAGATTTATCCGTAAAAGTAAAAACAAATAATGAAGAAAAGAGAAAGAAAAAAATCAGAAAAAAGAGAAAATGAAAAATACAAGAAATAAAGTAAATAATTAAGAAAGAAATTAAAATAAAAAATAATGAAAGAAAATGCGACACTTTCGAAAGAATTAAAATGAATGAAAAATAAAAAAAGCAAACTAGAAAGAACAATAAATTGATGAAATAAAAATGAGAGCAAGAAGGAAAATGAATGAAAACATATCTGGAAAAAAAACAAGTAAAAATGAAGATTAAAAGAAGAAGAATTATTTGTTCTTCTTTTCTTTATTATTCATTCTTTCTATAAAAAAAATAAAACGAAAAAGAAAGCGTAGTTACTGATAGAAAATAAGGTTAAAATAAGCCAAATAATGACAGGTTACAAGTAAGTACGGATGAATGGAAATAAATAAAAAAAAAAAAGAGAAAACAAAAAAAAGATTGCAAGAAGAAAAGTCAACATCAACAACAATAAAAAGAAATAGCGTAAAAGAAATTAAAATATCTATTTCCGGAGACGACAAAAATAAAGACATGAAAAGCAGAAAAAAAAAGAAAGAAAGAAAAACAAATAAAAAAGAAAGAAGTTTCAACCCGAGAAAGTGTGACAAAAAAAAAAAAAAAAAAAATGAAAAGAAAAGAAAAACAATAAGGTTTTTGGGATAATATTGACCAAGAAGGATAAAGATTAAAAAAAATATAGGCATTTATAATAGAAAGAAAATAAAAAGGAAAGAAAATAGAATTTAATGAAGTCCACGACGAAAGTAAAAGTGAAAGTGAAAGTAGGCAGAAACCAGACCGGAAACAAATCAATTGTCATTTAATAAGATTCTCAGCCCACGTGTTCTTTTTTACCGCCACTAGCGTTGTTGGTGCATTGATCTACTGACGGAATTTGTAATTATCTATTTTTCTAATTCCAGTTTATTTTCATCGCCGTCGCTTGGCAACCCTGCCAGCCAAACGGGTGACTAAAGTACCCTCCCTTGTACTTATATACAAAAATAAAAATAAAAATTTTGTATTGTTTTCAAGAGACCAGCCTGTGGTAAAATTAGCTTGGTCGCTTTTTTTTTTCTTTTCAACAGAGCAAATTATTTCACAGAAACTTTCAAACTTTTATCTATACTATTATTAAAAGGTTGCTGAGCGTGGTGTCGTTTCCAGGCGTTAAGATAAAAAAATAAGAGTGAGTGTGTGTTAGTGTGCGAGAGAGAGAGAGAGAGAGAGAGAGAGAGAGAGAGAGAGAGAGAGAGAAAGAGAGACCGAGAGATAAAGAGAGAAATGGGAAGAAAGGGACAAAGAGATATAAAGTACAATAGGAGATAAAAAAAGGTTGGGAGGGAACGAAAGAAAGAATAAAAGAAAAGGAGAAAAAGTTATGAAGAAAAGGAGATAAAATGTGAAAGAATGAAAAGAGAATGAAAGACAAACGGAGAGAAAGAAAAGAGGAACGAAAGAAAAGGAAAGGTGGGGGGAATGAAAAGAAATATTGAGAAAAATGAAAGAGAGAATGAAGGAGAAACACTGCGGATGGAAATAGAAGAAGCAGTAAAAGAAAGAATGTGAGAGAAGAAAAAATTGAATGAAAGTGTACAGAGAAAAGCAGACAGAAAGAAACTTCTAGAACATAAACACAATTAGTAATAGCCATGTCTTTTGAGTAAAGAAAAAATCCTTGCTTTTGGCAAAAAAAAGTTCCTTGCCAAGTTTGAAGTGGTAAATCGTGTAAGTCCATTTGAGATTTTGGAATATGACCAAGAGACGAAGAGGGCTAGTCCCGGATCTTATAAGCAATGCAATATCGGATGTGTGGCTAGCGTAGCATTTAACAACAGATAAAATAAAATCAGCAGTGCGGGTTCAAATTCTTACGAAGGTTGTTGTCTTCATTTCAAAATGAAGCCATTGACAAAAGTATATTGCTATCGTTTGTCCCCCAACACCAAAAAAAAAAAAAAAAAAAATGAAACTGTAGGGAAGACTGGACATTTTAAACTTAGAAGTAAAAAAAACTGTGACGAAAGCAATGGTAAACTATTCAAATACCGTTCCCAAGAATAAAGGAAAGTATGGTGAGCCATGACCGACAACATTCTGGAGAAATTTAACATTTAAAGCAAATTATATAACTTTTCATCTCGAGAACATCATAGTTTATACGGAGCAACAATTCACGTAGACATTAATATATATATATATATATATATATATATGGCGAAAAACTTTTTGCTGTTAATAAAAAGAACACACGATATGCATTTATCGGATGTCAGAATTCGTTGAAAAATACACCTATATATATATATATATATATATATATATATATATATATATATATATATATATACAGATATGCAGAGATTTACAGTTTTTATATATATATATATATATATATATATATATATATATATATATATAAGCCTGTTTCGCTGTATCACAGCTCATTAGTGTGGCTAGACATCCGATTGCTTGCAGAGATTCTACCACTAACCTATCGGCGTTTAATTCATAACTGAAGAACGATGCGTTAATAGCAGAATATTTACATTAGAACATGCACTTATCCACTACATTTTTTGTTTCAACGTCAAAAAGGAAAACCGTTTTTAGACGTCTCATCAACTGGGGAATCACGGGTTACTCGATACATATATATATATATATATATATATATATATATATATATATATATATATATATATATGTGTGTGTGTGTGTGTGTGTGTTGTGTGTTTATAGATACAGATGCAATATGAAGGATGATAAGGTGCCCGGTATTTCTATGGTTTTCTAATTATTGTACACAATTATGCAGTTGTTCGTCAACCTCGAATGAATCTGTCTATCTATCGATCTATCTCAGCTTATACATATCTATCTGTCTCTCATTTTCTATTGGATCTCATCATATCTATCTATCTATCTATCTATCTATCTATCTATCATAATAGCTAACTGTCAAAGCACCTTGAGGCACCGTTTTCAGTTCCACCCTAGCCCGGGGTGGTGGCACCTGTTAGGGTAATGGCTATGGGCAAAAAGTGAACCCCGAAACTCGGGTTAAAACCCTATGAATGCATAAAAATACATTTTATAGTAAAAATACCAACAATAGATTTTTGTAAAAACAAAAATTTACAAAGCTCCCAAGAAAATTAAATTTCGACATTAAATGACCCATAAGTTGTCGATATGCCGCTAAACAAACAAACAACATATCGTATATATAAAAGTTGATTCTTACTGTTGCTGTAAGATAAATTTTTGTTTGGTACCTGATATTAATTAACTGCAAACAAGGCCCCAAACACTGGGACATCTAATGAATTAAATAATGCATTGAATGTTGTAGCCAACAATGAGACACTGAAAAGGAAGATAAAATAAAAAAATAGTATAAAAAGTAAATATATATATATATATATATATAAATGAATGACTCACTCAGAAGGAAAATTCTCGAGAGTGCTGCCATTGAATATTACCCAAATATTAATAAATATTTATAACATACATATCTCCCAAAAAATACACAACAGTATCAAGAAATCAAAAGAAAATTGTTGAATCCGTCAAACAAAAATAATAATATCTCCACACGTGAATATACGTAATTTTAGTTAAAGTATGAAAATAGCGTTCTCTAAATTCTTCCAGTTGCTGAGGACATTTTGTTTTATTATTAGTTACTTTTTCCAAATAGGACGAAATATTAGTTTTCCTATTATATACATTTATAAAATATATAAATATATATAAATATATATAATATATAAAACTAATATATATAAATATTATAGATAAATAAAAAAATATATATAAATATAAATATGAAATAAGGCTTTAAATAATATACGATTTTATAATATATATATAAATATATATATATATAAAATATAATATATATAATATATAATATATATAATATATATATATATATATAAAATATATATAACTATATATAAATACATATAATATATGTAATATATAAAAATAAATACATAAAATAGCACAAAAATAAATATTATATATAAATATAAATTATATATATATATATATATATATATATGAAATAAGACTTTAAATAATACATGATTTTTTTCTCCCACTTTGTAGAAAAGATAGCGATAAATTGTGAATTCCGATCGATTCATTTTCATTCATTCACCTTGGAGAAGTCATGAGTCCACCTAAATGTCAGTGTATTAAACATTAAATGAAAACGTTAGATAAAACATGATGCTGGATTCATTTTAAAAGCGAACATAAATGAATAATCTAAAATAAATACATTTAATTCATTATAGAATTTTAAATCTCGGCATCTTGTTTCCTGCACCGTTCGAAGTAACCATTGTTGTCGTCTGACATTTCATATTCCTAAAAATTATCGAAATATGTCAAAATCATCTGTTTAATTAGATTTTCTCAAAGCTGTATGGGCTTGTCTAAAACTACCGGTTCCCGTCCGATCACCGAGGTAAAGCAACGCCGAGCCAGGTCAGTACCTAGATGAGTGACCTTTTGGGAATACCAAGTGTTGTAAGCTTGGATGTGTGGTTGGTGTGATGGATAATGACTTGGATTTGAAAATTGGAGTGCGAAGTTCCAGTTGGGTTCGTTATATTCACTTACACGCAAATACCCTTAGTAAAGTATTTATCTACATCTTCTCCCCCAGCTATGGGTTAATTATTAAGAATTTTATCACTAAATTATTATTATCTCCACGCAAAAAAAAAGAAAAAAATCAGAATACTAAAATAACCCTGGGTATAGCGATAAAGTACATCCAGTATTAAGGCTTCCTAACGAGAAATTGGGGGTTGTGAGGGGGTGAGGAACAACTTCTTAATTGCTGTAGTTTCCACGTTCACCGCAACTAGGTGAGGAAGCACTTGTTAAGGTCCCCAAAGAAAACACTATATATATATATATATACACATTTTGATGGTAAACAAAGTAGCAATACATTTTTGTATAGGAAATTTCCAACGATATTTATTTATAGTAAAATTACCAAAAATACATTTTTAAAGCTGGATTATCAACAATTTATTTTATTTGTATTTGAAGCCATAAAATTGTGTTCAAAATAGTTAGATTTCGGTATTAAATAACACATAGAAGTGTTGATATGCTGCTAAACAAAATGAACCAAAAATCTAAAAATATTTCCTGGCTTTAAATAACCTGCAAAGGTTGATAAACCATAGAAAACGAGTCAATCAATCAAAGTTGTATGGAATTATTTCAACATTTGAAAAACCGGTAAGCTGGTTGAATTAATTTTTAATATTATTAATATAAATTTTAATTATTTTGAATTATCATTAATAAAAGAAAAAAATTACACAATTATTTAATTCTGCCGAATTTGAATTCATTTCGCTTAAGATAATGTAAAAAAATGAATAACTTTAATTAAAGAAAAAAAATATTGAAATAATTATTTAAATAATTGAAAATAATTTCTGAATTGTTTTTTTCATTATTAATAAAAAAAAACTCACCTAATTATACCTAAATACACCCGATATTAATTCAATTTTAATCGATTTTAATTGAAAAAAATATAAATAAAGTTAATATTTCAATATGAATAATTAATAAAAAAAATCAACGTTATTTACTGACGTAAATATGTTCCATTGTTGGATTAATTTTTTTATTAATGAAAAGATACTTTTCGCTCTCTATAGGACGGGCATTCGGTTAATAATTCAAATATAAAATACTATTTTATTACAAATTTCCAATGTAGGCATGTTGCATAGTCACATTAAGAATGTGACTCAAAATGGTATTTGAAGACCACAGTCGTTGTTTTGTAGTGGCTTGTAACGATACGTTACTTTGCATGACTGTCTTTAACCCATGACAACAGCGTCAATCTGTCTATGTTTCTCAATGAAAATCAAATCAATATTTATTATTCCAGGAAGAATTTTTGTAGCATTAAATAGCGCAACGCATATAGTCTGTATTGGCTACTTCTATTGTTCTCTCTAGGGAAATATTGCTGACACTTGTTAGTGACAGAGAGGTAGATGTGAGAGAGAACGAGCTCCAAGTCCTAATACGTTTTTTTTTTTTTTTTTTTTAGATAGGGAAATTCTCACTGAAAGATTTTGAAAGATTTTTTACAAGGAAATCTCACATTCTTGCTAACTGCTGATTCATCAATTCACGGGCTAATGAAAGGCATCACAACATCCTTTTTTCTTTTTTTCTTTTCTGTGAGATTTACCCAAACCAAATATATCGTATTTCAGAAAAATAATATTACAAACCACCTGCGTGCTTGTTTTTTTTTAGTTGTGGGGGAAAATTCCGTTAAAAAAAGAAAAGAAAATAATACTAAAGTGTTACGTAATATCAGTTTTTCTATATGGCAGTGAATGCTAGACAATTTCCTTACAGATGAAGAAGAGACTTCAACCAACAGAAATGTGTTCTACGGAAAGATGGTGAAAATACCATGAGAAAAACGAATTTTTAGAGGAAATGGAAACAAAAAAAGATACTTATATTAATATTAGGAAGAGACAGTTTAAGTTTCCAGGGCATATAATTAGGAAAGAGGGCTTGGAAAATTTGATACTCACAAGGCAGGTTGAAGGAAAGAGGGACAGAGGAAAGCAACGCATAGCCTACCTAGCGAGCTTGAGTCAATGGATAGCAAAACAAAGTTTAGGCGAATCAATGGACAACATTTATTAGGAGGTACAAACAACAGGAAGTTGTGGAGATCTTTGATCGCCTACGTCTTGAAGGGACTTTTTTTTTTGTTTTTCTCTACTAAGACAATACTACAGAAAGTGTAATGTTTCTATACACGAACGGAGTGAAAAAAACAGAAAAGATTTTATTATTATTTAGAAAACACTGCAGCCGAGCGGTTAGAATGTTCAATTTCTGACTATGCGGCCCGGGTTAGATTCTCACCATAGTCGATTTGTCAGGAAGATGACTTTTTGATGTTATCCCAGTGTGGGTTACCCTTGGAATGTGCCTGAAAACAGGTTAACGCAACTCTTTGGAGAGTCTTCGATAGTTGCGCTAGCACGAAGTCACAAGTCATCGTGACCGAGGGTTTGTGCGTGCTAGCCTTGTTCAGACTGTTGAAGACACTAGATGGCGCGCTCTCTCGCAGAAACTGCAACTAAGATCCACTTAGTTGCAGTATAAACAACAGATGGGCTCTGTGGGTGTCGAGCAAACACAATTGTGCCGGAGCAGGCGTTTGCAAAGGGGATTAGCTAACTGCTCTAGTAGACGGGCCATTTCAGCCAACAGATTAATTAATGGAGCGGTTACTATACAAACACTGACATAGTCTTAGCATGTGTCTTGAAAATGGCGAACTTTCATGATGTGTTCAACCATAAATTAGACATGACTAATTGAACATTTTAACAAAAAGAGACTATCTCCCCAGGAGAGAAGGTTGGAGGAAAAATGACTTTGAAATATGACGAAGGCAAAGAAATGAACAAACATAGGAATACCATTCTTTGCCAGAAGTGAAGAACAGAAAAAGAAGAAGAAAAAATAAAACTGTCAAGTCTCATTTTCCATTTTGTTCGTTTATTCAGAATCAGTTTTGGACTGATTGCTATTAAGTTGGCAAAAGAAAGCACACTGAAAATAATACGGCCGGAGGATATATATTAAAAGGTTTTGAAAAAGGCAAGCATTCGTAATGATACTCTGTGCGTATGTGTGTCTGTATATATATATATATATATTCCGATAACGGTGTGTTTATCTATCTATCTATATCTATCTATCTATAAAGCCTATTTTTCTCCTTTCTCTCACTCCACGTTCTCCTATCTATCAATCTATCCTCACGTTCTCCCTTCATCTCTTCCGATCTGTTTATCTGTGTAATTCCGTTCTTTATCTATCTATCTATCAATCTATCTATCTATCTATCTATCTATCTATCTATCTATCTAATTCTGTTCTTTATCTATCTATCTATCTATCTATCTATCTATCTATCTTGGAAACTAAAACACTGAAACTGACCTTGAGGAATGTTAAAAATATTTGTGACTAAGCAAGAAAATAACAACTGTTTTTTCCCCGACTGATTAATGAAATAAACACCGAATACGCCAGTGAATAAGTCGATTCCAAAAATTCTTCGTTGTTTACTTTGCCAAGTAAGTCGATTTAATCTTCGAAAAACACCATTTCAGGAAGTCGAACAAGATCGCTCTGAATCATTAACAGAAAAACTCGGCCGATTCGACGCTATTTTCAGTACATGTCGATTTGTCCGGAAAATAATTTTGAATGTTCGGAGATGGAATAAGACTCCAGTGAAATGTAAATAAATTTAATTTCGAAATCAGTAGCAACGTCAATATACAGGGTATGATAAAAAAAATATCTCCCGCATATACCTCCAGGTAATAGCTCCAAGTAATACCTCCAAGTAATACCTCCAACAAAATGGTAAGACATGAATTTCTGGCGGGTATATGTGAGAGGCATTTTTTGCCGCAGCCTGTGATATTTCAAAACGAATTTTTTTTTTCTATCCAATTCTCTGACTTGGGTAAGATGATAAACTATATCCGCGTCCAGGGTAAGACAATAAACTACGTCCAACAGCAAGGCCTCTGATCAGGAGGTTTTGAGGAGCATGGAACCACCTCTTAATTGCTGGTGTTCCCAGGTCCATCCTGACCCGGAGTGGTAGCATCTGTTAGGGTCCTAGCTATAGGCAAATAGTTAACCCCGAAGCTGAGGTAAAAATCATTATGAAAGTGTAAAAAAAGGTTTTGATACCAGAAATATTTTGTAAAAAATTATTACCAGAAATAAATTTTTGAAGGGAAAAAAATATTACCAGCAATACATTTGTGAAAATTATATTACCAGCTATAATTGTGAGGAAAAAATATTACCAGAAATAGATTTTTGACAAAAAAAAAATAATACCAAGAAAAAAAAGTTGTCTGCATTAAATAACCCATTGAGGTTGATATGCCGTAAAACAAAATAAACCAAACCAATCTAAACCAAAGAAAATATTCAAAATAAATCAAAAAAATGGCATTAAAAACCAAAGTTGATATGCCGAAAAACAAATGTGTCCAAACCAATCTAAACTTCATATTCGAATCTATCCTAAAAATGTTGTCGGCATTAAATAACCCATTGAATTGATATGCCGTAAAACACCTTAAAACCAAACAATTGAATACATATTCTATTCATACGAATCTATCCTAAAAACATTAAATAAACAAACCAATAAAACAAAATAAACCAATGAATAAACCAAAGAATACATATTCTATGCATACGAATCTATCCTAAAAATGTTGTCGGCATTAAATAACCCATTGAAGTTGATATGCCGTAAAACAAAATAAACCAAACCAATCTAAACTAAAGAATACATATTCTATTCATGAACGAATCTATCCTAAAAATGTTGTCGGCATTAAATAACCTAAAAAGTTGATATGCCGTAAAACAAAATAAACCAAACCAATCTAAACCAAAGAATACATATTCTATTCAT